TATATATATATATGTATATATTATATATATATTATATATAAAGTTATATGTATATATAAAGATGTATACCTATATGTATATTTATAGATAAAGATATATATATGAGTGTATCTATATATATATGTATATATATATATATATATATATGTGTATAAACATATATATAATTATGGATATATATAAATATCTATAGTTATATATATATGCTTATATAGGGGTATATATATATATATATATATGTATGCATGTACGTATGCATGTATGTGTGTGCATGTATATAAACTCTCCCTATATATATATATATATATATATATATGTAAATATATACTATATATATATAAATAGATATATTATATATATATAACTATATATCATTATAATAAAATTATAATAGTCATAAACTAATAATAATAATAATATTATAATACGATAAATATATGTTGTTAATAATCATAAAAGAGTAGTAATTATTATAACAATAATATTATTATATTAAAAAAATATATAGAATTATAATAATATTATCATATGATAAAACAATAGTAATAACTGTATAATTATTATATATATGTATATACATATCTACATATATATATATAAATATATTATATTATATATTATATATTATACTATATATTATGATGACGATAGTAAACTAACAGTGATAATAACAATGAAAGCACAAGAACAATAGCAGCAGAAGCAGCAGTTGCTGCTGCTTCTGCTGCTGCTGCAGTTATGTAATAATGCAAACAGTTTACCTAAGTCGAAGGGATCGCTAAGAACAGCAGCAGGCAGCAGCAGCGGGTTGTTTGCTGCTTGCTGCGGCAGCAGATCGTAGAGAGACCCCAACCTCTCTATCAAAGGAGACACCCGACGCCTGCTGCAGCTAGCAGCAAACTCAGCCTTCAGAGGCACTCGAGACAAGTAGTCTCCGTTCTGCAGCAGCAGCGGCAATAACAGCAGCAATAGCAGCAGTAGCGATAGAAGCAGCAAGAGCAGCAGCAGCAGAAATTGCAGCAGTGTCAGCCGCACCAACACCAGCAGCAGCATCAGGAGCGGCATCCGCAGCAGCATCACCAGCAGCATCATGAGCAGCAGCAGCAGCAGCAGCAGCAGCAGCAGCAGCAGCAACAGTCTCAACAGCAGCAGCAGCAACAGCAGCAGCAGCAGCAGCAGAAACACCAGCAACAGCAACACCAGCAGCAGCAACAGACTCAGCCGCAGAAGCAACAGCAGCAGCAACAGACTCAGCCGCAGAAGCAACAGCAGCAGCAACAGCAGCAGCAACAGCAGCAGCAACAGCAGCAGCAACAGCAGCAGGAAGTTTGTACGGGTAGGAAGACTTCAACTCTGCCAGATATGGTTCTTCGAATGACTGCACCGCACGGCAGCAGCCGTCTGTACACCTCAGCGTCTTCACTGCAGCCAAACCAAAGGCGAGAGGCCCCTAAGCGTAGACCTGCAGGCAAACCCTTCTCATCTGCTGCTGCTGCTGCTGCTGCTGGTGCTCCTACTGCTGCTGTGGGTGGTGCTCCAGCGCCCCCTGCTGCAGAGGCTGCTGCTGCGGAGGCTGCTGCAGCTGATGAGGCTCCATTTGATACTCCCGGGCCTGCTGCAGCAGCTACTGCTGCTGCTGCAGGTGCTGCTGCCGAGGTTGCCGCTGCTGCCGCTCCCTCTGTTGCTGCTGCTGCTGCTGCTGCTGCTTCCTGCTGCTGCGCTGCAGCCTCCGCAAGCCTCCAAGAAGCAGCAATCTCGCGAGACAGCTCTTGAGGGTTTTGCTGCCACAGAGACCCATCAGGAGACACCTGCAGCAGCCGACCTGCGCATACACCCGAAAGCTAGACAGGCAGCAGCAAGTATTGATTGCTCGCGCTCCAAACAGCAGCAAAAGCAGCCGCTACAGCAACGGATGCTGCTGCTGCTGCAACGGCGGCTGTAGCAGCTATTGCAGCAGCAATACCAACTATAACACAAAATCTGGCAGCAAACGAGAAAGAAGCAGCAGCACAAGCAGCTGCAGCAACAGCAACAGCCCTGGCAGCAGCAGCAGCAGAGCCAGCAAGACCAACAGCAGCAGAAAGAACAGCAGCAGCGGGAGCAGCAGCACCAGCACCAGCACGAACAGCAGCAGCAGGAGCAGCACCAGCAAGAACAGAAGCAGCAGCAGCAGCAGCAGCAGCAGGAACGCACCACTGGGGCTTGAAATCTCCACAAGGACCCCCAAAAGGGGGTTTGTATGAGGCCCTGCTTCAGGCTTCCTTTGCGGCAGAGCATCTTGCTGCTGCTGCTGCTGCTGCTGGTCTTGCTGCTGCTGCTGCTGCTGTTGATCTTGCTGCTCCTGACCCTCTGGCTGCTGCTGCATGTCTTGCTGCTGCTGAACGTCCGGCTGCTGCTGCTTGCTTTTTCGTTGCTGCTGCTGCTGTCGTGCTTGCTGTGATGGTGGCTTTTGCTGCTGCTGCTGCTGTTGCTGCTGCCGCTGTTGCTGTTGCTGTTGCTGTTCTTGCTGCTGCTGCTGGGCAGCTTGCTGCTGTTGTTTCTGCTGCTGCTGTTCCGGTTCCTCTGCACAGCACTCTGCTGCTGCTGCGCTCTGCTGCTGCAACTGCTGCTGCAGATACCCCAAGAGCGAAGCAGCAGTAAGACGAACAACAAGGCGGCAACCTCCTTGCAACTCAGCAGCAAAAAGAGACAGTTGCTGCTTCGCTATCTTCTCTGCTGCAGCACACAGCTCAGAAGCTCTTTCTAGTGTCTCTAACGAGGGCAACGGATGGCGTTTGTCCGCATCTTGCTGCTGCTGCTGCTGCTGCTGCTGCTGTTGCTGCTGCTGCTGCTGCTGGTGCTGCTGGTGCTGCTGCTGCTGTTGCTGGTGCTGAGATTGTTGTTGTTGCTGCTGCTGCTGCTGTTGCTGCTGCTGCTGCTTCTGTCGCAGAGAGGCTATTGCTGCAGCCCAGCTGCTGCAGTTATCCAGGAGACAGTTGTCTCTTCTTAAAGAGCAACTTGCTTCGGGCAGCAGCACGCGGCAGTCTTTCCACTCCCTCGTTGATAATGGTGTCGCTGCTGCTGCTGCTGCTGCTGCTGCCGCCGCTGCTGCTGCTGCTGCTGCCTCCGCCTCAGCCACAGCAGCAGCAGCACCTTTTTCTGCAGCGCAGCAGCAACAGCACCAGGCGCTCCCTTTGCCTTCACTCTCCTTTCTTTCCACACGTGCAGCAATTACCCCTAGGGTTTAGGGTTTAGGGTTTAGGGTTTAGGGTTTGTTGGCGGACTTGGTTGAAATTTGAGTATCGTCCTTCCAGTTTTTGTGTTTGTTTCTGTCTCGATTGGAGTGTATAGGGACCTCAGCTTTGCTCCTGCTGCATGCGAAGAGAAGAAGATTGTAGCTGTTGAGTTGAGGTGTACGTACACCTCACGAGAGCGCAGCGCTCCGTGGGTCTCTGCTGGTAAATCTAATAAACATTTTAATAAACTGCTGGCCTTTGAAGATTTGTACAGAGACCTCCACACTCTAAAACTCCTCAGTGGAGCTGACGATACACCCCGCCAACACCCCCGAGATGTGCTGCTGCTCGTTGCCCTGAAAAAGAAAACAACAATAATAAGCTGCTGCTGCTGCTGCTGCTGCTGCTGCTGCTGCTGGTGTTGCTTCTGTTGATGATGTAGCTGCTGCTGCTTCTGTTGATGATGCTGCTACTGTTGCTGCTGCTGCTTTTGTTGGTGGTGCTGCTAGTGCTGCTGCTGTTAATGATGCTGCTGCTGCTGTTCCTGTTGATGCTTCTGCTGTTGCTGTTGCTGTTGCTGCTGCTGTTGCTGCTGGTGTTCGTTCATTTGTTGTTTCTGGATTTGTTTATTTTACAGAGACGAAAAAAACAAACAAAAAAGACCAACGAAAAAAGAAGCAAAAACAGACACCAACAACAGCAGCAGAAGCTCTAGCAGCAGCAGCAGCATCATCAGCACCAGCACCAGCAGCAACAGCACAATCAGCAGCAGCAGCAGCATCAGCAACAGCAGCAGCACCACCACCACCACCACCAGCACCACCGCCAGCAGCACGAGCAGCAGCACGAGCAGCAGCAGCAGCACCAGCACCAGCACCAGCAGCAGCACGAGCAGCAGCAGCAGCAGAAGGAATTACCTATGGAAGACCGCTAGCAGCAAGGTTCCTGTGCGTTGCAGCAGGGTGCCTTCGAGTGTATATTCTCCGCTGCGGAGGAGACAGCCGAGGATGTGGGGAAACCGATCCCCTGGGATCGTCTCCCGGACGCATCGGGTGCTGCCCAGACACTCGGGAGTAGAGCCCCGCCCCACAGCAGCAAGCAGCTGCTGCAGCGACAGCAGCTGCAGCAAATGCTCAACTTGAGGCTCCGCCATGTGAGGAAAGAATCCATACACACGGCACTGCAGCGCCATCCTACACGTTAATGCACGCAGCAGCAGCAGCAGCAGCAGCAGCAGCACAGCAGCAACTGAAGCAGCAACAGGAGCAGCAGCTGCAGAAGCAACACCAACAGGAAAGCGGCTACACCAACGAAGATACCCGGCGAGGAGCAGCAAGGCAAATGCATGCAGCGTGCACAGCAGCAGCTAAAGGAGCAGCAGCACAAGCAGCAGCAGCAATGGCAGCAGCAAAGGCAGCCGCACTCATGAGAGCAGCAACTGTGCAGCAGCAGCAACAGCAGCAGCAGGAGGATAAAGGGTGCCGCCTACTGCCGCAGGAGGGGTCTCCTGTGCTGCTGCAGTTGCTGCAGATACGCAACAGGAATAGAGGCTTCTGATGCTTCAATTTCTGCTGCTGCTGCTGCTAGGCTACTGGGATCGGGATTGGAGACGATCCCACACGATCCCCCATCCGTAGGCTGCTCCTTCTGCTGCTCCTGCTGCTGCTGCTCCTGTTCAGCGTGCTGCTGCTGCTGCTGCTGCTGCTGCTGCTCACAGTCCTCCGTGGTCTTCTCAGCGAGAACGGCTGCAGCAGACTGCTTCCGCCTGAGGAGCCACAGCAGCGCAGCAGCAGCAGCAACTGCTGCAGTTGCTGCAGCAACAGCAGCAGCAACAGTGACACAGCAGGTGCAGCCAATGCACCAGCAACAGCAACAGCAGCCGCAGCAGCAACAGCTCCTTCTAAAGCTGCTGCTGCTGCTGCTGCTGCTCTCTCTCTCTGCCGATAGGAGACAGTCCTCACCTTGCAGCTGCGTCTGCTGCTGCTTGCTGCAGCAAACAGTGCAGCAGCAAACTCACAGATGTCTCCTCAGGAGGGACAGAATCCGCAAGAGACAAATAAACCCTGCAGCAGGCAGTAGCAACAGCAGCAGCCCTTACAGGAGCAGCAGCAACAGAAGCACCTCTTAGAGGAGCAGCAGCAGCAGCATCCATTACAATAGCAGCGGCAGCCAAAACGGCAGCAGCAAGGGCAGCAGCAGCATTGGCAACAGCAAGGGGAGGAGCAGCATTGGCAGCAGCAGCATCAGCAGCAGCAGCAGCAGCAGCGGCAGCAGACCGTGGTGCTGCAGCAGCAAGGCGGCAGTCTGCTGCAGCAGAAAGGGGTGTAGTTAGGGATAGCGGATACAGAAGCAAGCAGCAGCAAAGTTAGAGACACCACACCACCACGAGGAGCAAAGGTCTGTCTGGCCTACTGGGGCTTTTCTTCTTCTTTGTTTGCTGCAGAGGGTGCAGCAGCAGCAGCAGCAGCAGCAGCGTGCTCGGCAGCTGCTGCTGCTTCAGCCCCTTCCCGTTTGGCTCCCTGCCGCTTTTGCTGCTGCTGCTGCTGAGCTGCGCTTGTTTTTGTAGTACCGGAGGCGGAAGAAGGCGCAGCAGCAGCCGCAGCAGCAGCAGCAGCTTCTGCTGCTGCTGCTGCTTCCCGCTGCAGCGCCTTAAAAGACAAGACAGGGATTGTCTGCTGGTACTGCCTGTACACCTCGCGGTGTCTGCTGACCTCCTCAGCAGCAGCAACAAGCCGATTCAGAAACAAATCGGGGGTTTCCTGGTGTCTCCTGCTCATACAAACCCTAAACCCTAAACCCTAAACCTGTGATACGACCCTAAAGGGCCTAAACATGTTCCCCCATATGCTAGGCATGCACATCGCCAACCCTAAAACCCTAAACCCTAAACCCTAAACCCTAAACCCTTGCTGCTTGAGAGGGGGTTCCGGACTTGGTGCAGTCCTGGAGGGCGAGTATATCTACAGCGATTTTGGGATCTTTTGCTTCTGCTGCAGTGATGACAGCAGCAATGCTGCTGCTTTGTGCTGCAGCAAATGCTGCTGCTGCTTCCTCCGGGCGAGCAGCAGCAACAAGAAGAAAAAAATCTAAGCCTAAATCTGCTGCCTCTAAGGACAGCAGCAGCTGCGGCTGCCAGCTAAAACCCCATAGACACAGCAGCAGGTCCAGGGGCTCCTTTGCTGCTGCCGCTGCTGCCGCTGCTGCTGCTGTTTCTGCCTGCTGCTGCTGTTGTTGTTGTTGTTGCTGCTGCTGCTGCGCCAAAGCATTCGCCTTTGTTTGTCTTATTGCCGATTCATACTCTTTCACCAACACGGATATCACTCGAGCGACTTCCCCAGGCTGTACATACCGACAAACCCTAAACCCTAAACCCTAAACCCTAAACCCTAAACCCTAGACCTTACAAAGCAAACTACAGTCCTTTAGACTATGGGCGCATACGCTCTTGAGCAGGTTTAACCCCCAAGCTCGAAGCAACCCCAACCCCCAAAGCCTAAACCCTAAACACCCTAAACAACCAAAAACCTAAACCCTAAACCCTAAACCCTAAACCCTAAACCCTCACGGCAATGTCTGCAAGGGCCTTTGCTTTATTGTCGCTCAGCAAAGAATTCCTCTTGGCGTAAGCGAAGACCTCTTCTTCGCATGCAATCACAACGCGGCAGCCGCGAGGGCCCTAAGAGAAACAAACCGACCCCTAAACCCTAAACCCTAAACCCTAAACCCTAAACCCCTAAAGGCAGCACATCCCTTATTACTAAACCGGTTGGGAGACCTCAAAGTCTTGACCCTAAGGAAACCGTGTGAAGGGTTTGAGTTAAACCCCCTTAACTCTAAACACTAAACCCTAAACCCTAAACCCTAAACCCTAGACTTCAATTCCTAAACTATGAGAGTCTTCATATATAGGCTTATGGCCCCGGAGCCACCTGAATGTCCTCCTAAACCCTAAACCCTAAACCCTAACTCGGATGAATGATACGACAGCAGCGGAGACATCTCTGCGGCTGCGCTCACGGAAGAAGGGGCAGGGCTTTCTGCTCTCGCGTCTGCTGCTTCTGCTGCAGCCAGCAGCAAAGCGGAGCAGTCAACTGCTTCCTGCTCCTCAGCAGCAGGGCTGCCCTTCCCAGCATCTCCAGCAACAGCAGCAGCAGCAGACGCTGCAGCAGCAGCAGCAGAAGCAGCAGTTGCAGACGAAGGGGTGCTGCTCGGGAGGCCGGCCCCCGGCTGTGCCACTATAGCAGCAATGCAGCACCTGAAAGGAACAGCAGCAGCATCAGCAGCATTCTCTGCTGCATCAACAGCAGGAGCGCCCAACCTTCGGGGCCCAATCTCTTGAGGGCGCGCAGCAGCTGCTGCTGCAGCTGCTGCTGTTGCAGCCTTCGCTGCTGCAGCTTGTCCAGTCTTCCCCTTCACAGCCATTCTCAAACCCTAAACCCTAAACCCTAAACCCTAAACCCTAAGCAGCCCTTTGGGGGCCCCGCCCCAGTCGAGAGGGGGGCTCCCAGCAGGTGTATAGGGAGGTGAGCCTGAGGAGTTGCAGTATTTTTTCAGTTGGCTGATTATTTTTAATTGTTTTTTTAAATATAATATGGGAATATAATTTAAATTAATATTTAAATGCATTAATTTGCAGCTATTTACCCAGCCCTCAGCCCCAAAAAGTCGGGGGTGACCTTGAGAGAGGCGATGGGCGTACGGGGCAGGAGAAGAAACATCCATTATCTTCCTTGAAAAATAATTTATTTATTTATTTTTAAAATAAATAATTTTGTTTATTTTGTTTTATTAATTTTAATTGCCCTTTTTAGGGTATTTCTCTGAAATAAAATTCGACGCCCAACAATAGCGAGCGAGCAGAGCCGACGCAGACAAACGCCGGAGTTCAATCTGTAAAAATATAGAATAAATATTTAATTAATTTAATTTAATTTAATTTAATTTAATTAATTAATTTAAGTTATTCAATAAACCCAATTTCAAGCAATCGATAGATAGACAGATCTCTACTATACTCGTCTCTGTCGCCGCCCTCACCTCTTACTCTTATATTTTCTGCATTATCTCTGTCTCCTCTCAAAATAAAAATAATAAATAATAATTAATTAATATAAAATTAATAATTCTCCTTTAATCTAATTAACAATACTACCCGAATGAGATAATATATCCTCAGCATCAAAATAATAACACTTCGCTTGTACCTGAAACCTGTTCTTCTGTCTGCCGCTCCAGCCATTAAAGAGACGCTCCTCCTCTCCTTGTCTCTGATTTCAAGGTGTACATACACCTCAATATAATATAATGTATGACATATAATAATATATGTCATATATTGAGGTGTATGCACACCTATATTAATACTATATATTAAGGCTTTATGCCTGCTGCAGCCTCAGCCCCTCTCGTATGCTGCATATTAATTACCCTATTGCTGCTTTACTTCTAATCCCCTCTGACAACAACAAAAAGAAAATAAAATTATATTTCAATTCATAAGACACACAATTCACCAGAGACGCTCTGCTCTGAAGAATGGGGGGCCCCCCTGGGGCCCCCAAACTCCAAACCCGGAGGCCCCTGCCACATCCCCCAAGTCCAATATATATGAAAATATATACTTTATATATATATTATATAATATAATATATATATATATATATTAAAGAAAAGAAAAAAACGTCTTCGCATGCAGTTGCTGTGCCCCTCTATGCACTTCCTAGTTAATATTCCTTCGCTGCAAGAGAACATTCGTAGGGCCCCCTTTCATTAATAGCCAACCCTCTCCACATAGGGGGGCCCCCAGAACAGAGACACCAGTAACACTTGTGGGGCCTCATAGGGGGCCCCTATTCGGGGGGCCCCAAGGGAGGCCCCTAATGTGGGGCCTCATAGGAGGCCCCAAATGGGAACGCCCACGGGGGGTCCCTAACAAGGGCCCCTACTACATGGGGCCCCTAAAGAGGAGGGCCCCTACGGGGGCCCCCTACAGGGAGCCATAACTGGGGGGCCCCATATGGGGGCCCTCAAAGAAGGGCCCCCAAAAGGGGGCCCCCAAAGAGGGCCCACAAAGAAGGGCCCCCAAAGCGGGCCCCTACAGAGGACCCCCAAACAGGGCCCCCACAGAGGACCCTCAAGGGAAGGGCCCCAAAGAGGGCCCCCACAGAGGGCCCCCAAAGGGGGCTCCCAAGGAGGGGCCCCCAAAGAGGGCCCCCAAAGGGGGCCCCCAAGGGAGGGCCCCCACAGAGGGCCCCCAAAGAGGGCCCCCAAAGGGGGCCCCCAAGGAAGGGCCCCCAAAGAGGGCCCTGGCTGAGTTCGTCTTGGAGGGGCCCCTGATTTGTGTAGTATGTTTGTGAAGATTTATAATCTGAACTCGGGCTTGAGAATAATAAATTTTTGTTTGTCTTCCGTCGCCTCCATCTTGCAGACTTTGTGCACCACCGCCTGTGCGAGACACCCGCGCACAGCCCGAACCCTAAACCCTAAACCCTAAACCCTAAACCCTAAACCCTAAATCCTTGACACTAAAGTGTCTACAAACGAATGAGAAGAGTCCCCAAACCCTAAACCCTAAAACTGAAACCGCAAGTGTTGTCTTCTCAGCCCATAAACCCTAAACCCTAAACCCTACTTGAATACGCTTGAAGTCGTCGTTCTTCTCCTTGACTTTAAATGCGCTCATGAAGTCCTGCAGCAACAGCAGCACCACAGCAGCAGCAGCAGCATGTGGCTGTCTCTGCATCTCTGCTGCAGCGTATGCCTCGTAGGTCTAGTCTAGGGTCTAGGGTTTAGGGTTTAGGGTTTGATTAGAGTACCTTCACCGCCATTCTTCCCATGTGCTGCTGCATAACACGAACCACCTTTGCCTCCAGCGTTTCCTGCGTCTCTATTTGCTGCTGCGCGCTGCCTGCTGCTGCTTCTTGCTGCTGGGGCCCACCCCCCTGGGGGCCCCTCGACACTGCAGCAGCAGCCATTCGGGAGTCTGAAGAGAGGGCCCCAGGGGCCCCAGGGCCCCCTGTCTGCCCGTCTTGTGCTTTCTCCTCAGCGCCCTCCTAAACAGCAGCAGCAGCAGCAGCAACAGCATGGCCGCGAGCTAGTCAGCAGCAAACGCAGCAGCAGCAGCTGCCCTCAAAAACAGAGACCCCCAATACACCCCTCCGTCGCTAGCTAGGCAGGTGGACCCCAGCTAGCTAGCTAGACAGCTAGCTATCTAGCTAGCTAGCTAGATAGATAGATAGGTACATAGATAGCCAGATAAACATACAAACAAACTAGCTAGACAGACAGGTACCCAGTTGTCTAGCTAGCTAGATAGTAAGCAAGAAAGATAGCTAGCTAGCTAGCTAGCTAGCTAGCTAGCTACGTACTTCGTCGTCGTCTTCCGAGTCATACTGGTGCAGCTCTGCGTCCGCCTCTTCATCCCTCGCCTTCTCCAACAAATTCTTCATTTTCTAAGGCGAAGATACAAAATAAATTAAAGAAATCTAATAAATAAATAAATAAATAAATAAATAAATAGACAGATAAATAAATACGCATAAACAAGCAGCATGCGAACAGCAGCAGGAGCAGCAGCAGCAACAGCAACGGCAGTAGCAAAATCACCAGCAGAACACCAGCACCAGTACTAGCAACAGAACCATCAGCAGCAGCAGCAACAGCAGCAGCAGCAGCAGCAGCAGCCGCAAGAGCAGCAGCAGCAAGAGCAGCAGCAGGAATTGAACCTGTCCAAAGGAGGTGAGAGGGTCTTCTGGGTCTTCATCAGTTTCTTCTTCTACAGGGTCTGCTTCAACTGCTTCAGCAGCAGCATTTTCTTTTGCTTCTTGCGGCGCTTCTCCACCCTCATCATCGCTCCGCTCTCCGTCTTCGAAGTCCCAGCTCACCGCCTCCTGCCGCAGATTCCCAATGCTCAAAGCGCTGCAGCAGCAGCAGCAGCAGCAGCAGCAGCAGCAGCAAAAGCAGCAGCAGTAGCAGTAGCAAAAACCGCCATGAGTCTACACCTGAGCACTTCCAGTAATAAACAAACATTTCGCCCTCGCTTTGTGCCCTGTAGATAGAGTGGAGAGGCAATTGCTGCAGCTGCAACTGCTGCTGCTGCTGCTGCTGCAGCTGCAGCTGCTGCTGCTGCTGCTGCAGCTGCAGCTGCTGCTGCTGCTGTGACGTACGAGTCGATGTATTCGTTGGCCGCTCCCTTTCCACCTCTTTTGTCTTTGAGGAAACTCTTTAGTCTCTTCTTTTTCTGTCTGTACACAACAACAAAAGCAGCAGAAGCGCAGCAGAGAGCAGCAGCTGCACACTCAGCACTGCAGCAGCAGCAGCAGCAGCAGGTCGGAGTGCAGCAGAAAGCTAGGGTTTATTGTGGTTTGTGTGTGTGTGCGTGTGTGTGCGTGTATACGGGGGTTAGTAGATTTCAAGGGTTTAGGGTTTGCGAGGGTTTAGGGTTTTAGGGCGAAGGACCTTTCAAGCCCGAGTTCATCTTCAAGTACTCCCGCTGCTGCTGCTGCTGCTGCTTTGGGCCTCTTGCTGTCATCTTCGCTGTCGCTGCCTCGCCGCAGCCCCACAGCACGACGCGTAAGCATTGCATCTAGAGAGGCTTGCGCGCGAGACTGCACACAAACCCTAAACCCTAAACCCTAAACCCTAAACCGCAAACCACTCCCGAACCCCAAATCGAAGGCAAACGCTCAGGCAGCAGGAGGAACAGCAAAATATGTACAAGCAGCAGCAACAGCAGCAGCAGCAGCAGATCTATAAGCAGAAGCAGCAGAAGCCAAACACGCATTAACTACAGCACCAGAGGGAAGACGTACATACGCAGCACTAGCAGCAGCAGCAGCACTAGCAGCAGCCGCAGAAGCACTAGCAGCAGCAGCAGCAGCAGCAGCAGGCGTACCCTCGACTCTAACTCTTCTGGAGTGGATTGCTGCACTGCAGCAGCGCGTTCAAATGTTAGCCACTCGGAGACAGGCAGCAAATCCAGAGAGCCCTACACGCAGCAAACAACCCTAAACCCTAAACCCTAAACCCTAAACCCTAAACCCTAAAGCCTAAACCCTAAGCCCTAAACCCTGGAGCTTAAACTCGACGCAGATGCATTCACACGAAAAGGCATTCACACCCCAACCAATGCCACGAGTTACTATTATTATGCTACCGCTGCTGCTGTTGCTGCTGCTCCTGCTAGCCCTTCTGCTGTTGCTGCTGTTGCTGCTGCTGCTGTTGCTGCTGCAGCTACCTGGTTTTCAACTAGCAGAAAGAAGCAAGAGGCATCCACGTCGTTCTTCCGAGATATAAATGTCTTCTGCTGCGGCCGCCGCGCCGGGGTGGGGGGAGGAGACTGCTGTTGTTGTTGTTGCTGCTGCTGCTGCTGCTGCTGCTGCTGCTGTTGCTGCTCTTCTTGCTGCTGCTGTTCGGGCTGCAGCACATCGGATGAGTCCCGGAGACGCCACGGTGCTGCTGCTGCTGCTGCAGCGACGACATGCGGCTCTGCTGTTTCTGGTAGCTGCAGCAGACAGCAGGCAGCGACACAAAGCATTGCTGCTGCTGCTGCTACTGTTCTTTCTGCTGCTGCTGTTCCTGCTGCAGTTGCTGCAGTTGTTCCTGCTGCTGCTGCTGCTAAACCGGGTAGCCCGGGTGCTGCGTTGCAGCAGCGGGCACATCATCAGCATCCGCATCCGCACCAGCAGCAGCAGCAGCAGCAGCAGCAGCAGCAGCAGCAGCAGCCTCACTGCAGGCAAATCCCTAGTAATAGAAAGCGGCAGCTTCCACGCCTTCAAACTCTCTGGAAATTTCCCAACAAATAAACCGCGAGAAGATCTCAGACCTCCGAAACGCAATCGTCGAACCGCACCTGAACCCCACAAACCCTAAACCCTAAACCCTAAACCCTAAACCCTTAAACAATCCATATCCATAAGCAGCTATTAACAATCCCAAACCCTTGACCTTGGGGTTTACGGCGACACTCGGGGCGCCAAACCCTAAAATTCGCAAACCCCTTAAAACTTCCGCCCTAAACCCTAAACCCTAAACCCTAAACCCTAATAGGGTTTCAGGTGTACAGACACCGCACCACCTCTCTGCAGAAGCTGCTGCGCCACGTCTTCAAAAGGCACGCAGTCGGGAGGGGGCCCCGCATTCGAGGGGGAGGGGGAGGAGATCAATCCCCCTTGAAAGGGCCTCGCGTTGTTATTGCTGTTGCTGCTGTTGCTGTTGCTGTTGCTGCTGTTGCTGCTTCCGGGTGTGGAGTTGAAGCCGCGATTCAGAGAAGCGCTGAGAGGCTGACTGCTGCTCCAAGGGATAAGTTGCTGCTGATGCTGCTGCTCGATCTGCTGCTTCAAGCTCAGAGTTCGACCCTGCTGCTGCTGCTGTTGTTGTTGCTGCTGCTGCTGCTGCCGCTTGCGCTGCAGGTCTGGTGTACGCAAGGGCTTCACTAGGAGGCCCCTCATCCTCACAAGGTTGGGGGCCCCAAAGAGCAGCAGGAAGATTGATACAGAAACGCGGCTAGCAGCTTCGACTAGCAAGCAAAGCGGAGTTGCTGCTACTTGCAGCAGCTGCAGCAGCAGCAATAGCTGCTGCAGCAGCAGCTTTTGCTGCTGCCGGGAACAACTTTTGCGAAGCTGCAGCAGCTAGCTCGCGACGAGATGCCCTCTCAGTGCATGCAGCTGCTTCAGCAGCAGTTGTTTATGCTTATCTGCGTTGTTGTTGCTGCTAATGCTGCGGCTGCAGTTCTCCGCCACGTTGCTGCTAGTGCTGCTGCCGCTGCTGCAGTTGCTGTTGCTCCTCTTGCTGCTGCTGCTGCTGTGGAGTTTTCAACGCAGCGCCGGCCCTCAGGCTCCTATCGATAAAGTGAAAGCGCTGCTGTTGAGATGTTGCTGCTGTTGCTGCTGCTGCTGTTGCTGCTTCCCCTGCAGGTATTGCTTCAGGCCACAGCAGTGGCAGCAGCAGCGGCAGCAGCAGCGGCTTCCCAGCGAGATGATTCCTCTTGGTTTGATACTGAGGTGTTTATTATTCAAGCTGCTGCAGTTAAAGAAGCAATGAAAGCCTGCAGCTGCAGCAGCAGCAGCAGCAACTGCAGCAGCAGCAGCAGCAAGGCGTTGAAGCAAGTCGGTGGACGCGGCGCTGCAGCAGCGGAAGTGTCTTGAATTGAAATGAGGCAGCAAACCTTATTAAATTAATTGTTTAATTTATATTCTAAATTGCAGCTAGCTGAGCCCACGTCTTCAGCTTGGGGTCCAGCAGCAGCAGCAGCAGCAGCTGCTGCTGCTGCCGATGTGTGGGGCCCCGTGAGTTGAGTTGGAGTAGCAGCAGCAGCTACAACAACAGCAGCAGCAGCAGGATCAAAAGGTGGCTGACTGAGACCAGGCGAAGGGCCTCAGGGTTTGCTGCAGCAGATGTCGCTTTGCCTTATCCGCCAGCTGCTGCTGCTGCTGCTGCTGCTGGTTGCTGCTGCCTCGCTGTACACTGTGCTGCAGCAGCAGCCAGCACATGCCTTCTGCACCGCAGGGGGTCGGAGGGCCCTGAGCCCTTCGCTTCCATTTCATAGGGGAAGGGCTCTCTGCAGCAGCAGCAGCAGCAGCAGCAGCAGCGGCAGCAACAACAACGTCAAGAACAGCAACAGCAGCAACAGCAGCAACACCTTCTCAATCGAGAGGGCCCTCCGTCCTCTCTTTTCTATCATGGAGGAGACGCAAATTAATCGTCGGTGAGTATCTGCTTTTGCCTGTGCTCTGCCCAGCTAGCAGCAGCAACAGCAACAGCAGCAGCGACAACAGTAGCAGTAGCAGTAGCAGTAGCAGCAGCAGCAACAGCAGTAGCAGCAGCTGTGGGAGTTTGGGGGTGTACGTGGGGCCCCCTTTGCTGCTGCTGCTGCTGCTGCTGCTGCTGCTGCGGTTTTTGCTGTTGCAGCTGCTGTTGTTGCTGCTGCTGCAGCTGTTGTTGTTGCTGTTGTTGTTGCTGCTGCTGCTTGTTAGGAGTGTTGGAGAGGTAGGAGGAGCCGATGCAGCAGCAGCACAAGATGTGCCGGACGTAAGGCTCCCCCCTATAGGGGGCCCTCATGAGCTAAACCCTAAACCCTAAACCCTAAACCCTAAAACAATTGCCTGAGGGGCCCCTAAAGCCATGTATGGGTCCTTAAACCCTAAACCCTAAACCCTAAGATACATCAAGGGATACAGCAGGTTCTTGGGGGGCCCTAGAGGCCCCCATCATAGACTCGTAAACCCTAAAAACCCTAAACCCTAAACCCTAAACCCTAGCCCCAAGGGGAACGTGAAAGACGGAGCTTCTGTCGCCAATCCCCGAATTGGGTTTAGGGTTTAGGGTTTAGGGTTTAGGGTTTATTGGGTTGTGTGCAGGAGACACCGGAGGAGGTGAAGGCAGAGATACGGCGAAGACGGAGATTGAATATGCGTTAGTATTAAACTCTGTTTTGTTTTTAATAAATTTTTTGTTGTTTGTTTGTCTCCTTGTTTATTTGGTTTATATATATAAGGCTTACTGTCTCCTTCACTTTGTTTTATTGTTCCTCTCTTCTGTCTCTGCGTTTGTTTTATGCTGTCTCCTTCTCTTCGTTTGTTTTATTGTATTTACTGTCTCTGTTTGTTTTATACTCTCTTTGTTTGTTTTATATGGCTGACTGTCTCCTCCTTCTCTTTGTTTGTTTTATACTGTCTCCTTTCTCTTTGTTTGTTTGTTTTTTACTGTCTCCTCGTTTTGCCTCTCTGTTTGTTTTATTTTGCTTCTCGTCTCTTCTTTGTCTGCTTCTGTCTCCTGTCCGCTTTGTCTTTATTTGTTTTATTGTGTTTACTGTCTCCTTTGATTTTATTTGTTTTATTATATAATATATATATTATATATATAAATGTTTCATTTTGCTGTCTCTGTTTTTCTTTGTTCTTGTTTTGTTTGTCTATTTATTTATCCCTTTTAATCTTTTTATTTTGAGGTGTATCTGCACCTCTGTTGTCTCCTTTTCTTTATTTTATCAATTTTTGTCTCCTTTTCTACTGTCTGTCTCTACTTTTGCTTTTCTTTGCTTCTGTTTGCTCTCTGACTTTATATTTTTTCTCTTTTTTTTGTTTGTTTATCTCCTTGTTGTTTTGCTTCTGGGCGTTGGTTTGCTGCTTCCGCATGTCGGTCCCCTCTGCTGCTGCTCCTTCTGCTGCTGTTGCTGCTGCTAATGTTGCTGCTGCTGCTGTTGTTGCTGCTGCTGCTGTTTTGCTTCAGTTGCTGCTTCTCGCGTCTTACAGAATGACTCCTTAAGGGTGGCCTTAATGGGGCCTGAAGCATACACCGCATTCGTCTCCTCAGCAGCAGCAGCAACACCAGCAGCAGCAGCAGCAGCAGCAGCAGCAGCAGCTGGCAGCTTCTCTGTACCTGTTTGGGTGATGCGCCAGGCTGGGCGTTATTTGCCTGAGTTCAGAGCCGTGAGGGCTAAACACAAATTCATGACTGTGAGTCTTTTGCTTTGCTGCTGCTGCAGTTCTTCCTGCTGCTGCTGCGGTTGCTGCTGCCGCTGCAATACTTTCTGCAGTGGCTGCTGCTGCTGCTGCTGCAGTTCTTCCTGCTGCTGTTGCTGCTCCTGTTGCTGTTACTGCTCCTGTTGCTGTTGTTACTGCTGTAGCTGCATGTTCGTTGTTTTTTATTTATTCATTTCTATTTCTATTTGCTTATTACTATTTATTTATTATTATTTGCTGCTGTCTGCTTCTTTATTTGTTATTCAGGTTTGTAAGGACCCTCTGCTTGCAGCCGACGTTACGCTGCAGCCGTTTAAACGATTTCCTCTTCTAGATGCTGTTATTATTTTTAGTGATATTCTCGTCTTGCCTGAGGTTATCATTAACCCTAATTAACCCTAATAAACCCTGATAAACCCTCTGGAATGCTGATCCTGTCTAGCAGCAGCAGCAGCAGCAGCAGCTGACTGCAGCAGCAGCAGCATCAGCAGCAGCTGCTGCTGCTGCTGGTGCTGCTGGTGCTGCTGGTGAAGCCAGCTCCCAAAAGAACCCTAAGACCTTAAGCCACTCGCAACAGCACCACCTGTCAGACTCCCCGCATAGCCAGCCTCCAACAATGCGATTTAGGGTTTAGGGTTTAGGGTTTAGGGTTTGCGCGTCAGGCTATGGGGATGCCCCTAACAGTAGAAGAAGGGGAGGGGCCTCGCTTTGGTTGGCGTATAGAAACCCCAGCAGATATTCGGCGTCTAGACACCTCATTTGATGTTGAAGAAAAGCTGGGTAAGGCCATTTAGGGTCTGGGGTTTAGGGTTTAGGGTTTAGGGTTGAGGGTTTATGGGGTGGGGTTTAGGATTTAGGGTTTGGGGTTTACAGGCTAGGATTAAGGGTTTAGGGTTTACTGGATGGGGTGGAGGGTTAAGGGTTTACGCTCAGGCGTTTAGGGTTTAGGGTTTAGGGTTTGGGGGCTAGGGTTTAGGGTTTAGGGCTTCGTCTCGGTTGGCGTGTATTACCCCCTAACGGCGTTGGACTCTCTCGCTGCTTCTTCCTGCTTCACTTCAGCTGCATCTCTTGCACTGTTCTCCCCCGCTGCTGCTGCTGTTGCTGCTGCTGCTGCTGCTGCAGGGTATGTATTTGATGCTATTTATACAACGGCGGAGCAGCTAAAAGGTGCAGTACCTGTGATAGGGTTTAGCGGGGGCCCCCTGACTTTGTTTTGTTATATGGTGGAGGGGGGGGCCTCTAAGAAGGGCTTGCAGCGAGCGAAGGAGTTTCTATTTAAATACCCGGAAGAAAGTTTGCTGCTGCTGCAGCAAATCGCAGCAGCAGCAGCAAAGTTCCTCAGCAAACAAGTGGAAGCAGGAGCCCAAGTGCTGCAGGTGACTACTGAACACAACAAACGCCTTCTACGCATTCTCTTTTCCTGCTGCTGTTGCTGCTGCTGTTGCTGCTGCTGCTGCTGCTGGTGTTGTTGCTGCTGCTGCTGCCAGCCGAACACAACACATTCCTTCTTCTTCGCCCGTCAACGCATTCTCCTCACCCTGGTGCTGCTGCTGCTGCTGCTGACAGCTAAGCATAACCCACTTCTCCTGAAAAGCAGATCCTCCACCATACATTCTTCTTATCCTACTGTTGCTGCTGCTGCTGCTGCTGCTGCCGCTGTTCGCAGGTCTTTGATACGAACGCGGGTTTCTTTGCCCCTGAGCAATACGAAGAGTTCGGCGTCCCCTTCATGAATCAAATCGCGCAAGTGAGTTGCTGCTGCCTTTGCTGCTGCTGCTGCTGCAGGTGTTATTCTAGCTGCTTCGGCTGCCGATCTCGTTGCTGCTGCTGTTGCTGCAGCTGTTATTCTAGCTGCTGCTGTTCTAGCTGCTTCTACTGCTGCTGCGGTTATCCTGTTGTTCTCTCTGCTGCTGCTGTTATTCTGTCTGCTGCTGCTGCTACTGTTATTCTAGCTGCTGCTGCTGCTGCTGCTGCTGTGGCGCCCCCACGGCGTTAGCTGCTGCAGATGCAGGTGTTGTCTGCTGCCTCATCTTTATCTTTTTCTTTTTTGTTTGCAGTCTTTTGCTGTCTTTTTATTTGAAATATGTTTCTTTATTGTCTTTTCATTTGTTTTAGTTGTCTTAGGGTTTGTTGCCCCTCTATTTGTCTCTTTCCTTTGTCTATATTTGCGTTTGTTTATATTTATTTTTTTGTTTCTCTGCTTTTTTTTTGTGTAGCAGCACTTCTTGTTTTATTTTTGTGTTTTGTTTGTCGTAAAGCCAACTAAAGAATTATTTTTTGTTTGTTTTTCTTTGTTTTTCTGTTTTTCTTCGTCTTTTTTTGTTGTTTTCAAATTAATGCATCCATTGATGCATTACTTTTTGCGTTTTGTTTGTTTACTCGTCGTCATTTGCAGTTTTTATAATTTTTCTTTATTTTTTTATTCTTTTTATTGTTTTGTTTTTGTTTTTTTCAGGCTTTGTCTGTCTCCTCTCCAGGCGTCCCTGTAATTGCATTTGCAAAGGACCGCCCTTCAGAATCTTTTGTGTCTTCTTCTTTTGCTGCAGTTGGGGTGTCTTGGAGCAGCGAGAGAAGTATAATTAAGCAGCGTTTTCACAGAGTTGCTGCTGCTAATAATTCAATTAAATGCATACAAGGAGACCTGGACCCCCAAATTTTGTATGCCCCTGATATAACTATACAAAAAGAAACAGCACGCATGGTGCGTTATACACCCTCAATCGCAGCATCAACATTAACAGCAGCAGCAGCGGCAGTGACAGCAGCAACAGCAGCAGCAGCAGACGCCCTGTACTCATCAGCAACTCGCCATACTGCAAACAAAAAATTCACAAAGACATTACCTTCACCGGCATTTACTGTTGTTGCTGCTGCTGCTGCTGCAGTTTGTCTATGGTGCTGCATTTCTTTGAGGAATGTCTTATGTGTCCTAGCGGCAACAGCAGCAACAGCAGCTGCTGCTTCCTGTCTTGTGTGCTTGAATCCCTTCCCCCTCCTCTCTACACCACGTGCTGCTGCTGCTCCGCTGCTGCTGCTGCTGCAGTGTATATGAGAGGTGGTGGGGTTGTGTTTGCTGCAGGTGCGGGCTTATCAGCCTGGTCGCTACGTTGCGAATTTGGGGCACGGCATGGAGCCCTCAATGGACCCCCACAAACTGGGGGTCTTCATAAAGGCAGTGAAAGACACTGCTGCACAAATCCAGAAAGAACAACAGGCCAAGACAGCTACCTAGACAGCTAGCTAGCTAGCTAGAGAGCTAGCGCCCTAGTGAGGTATACGGCTAGCTAGAGAGCGAGAGAGCTCTTTATGAAGCTAAAGAACTAGCTAGCTGTTTATCTAAAACGCTAGCTAGCCAGCGAGGTAGCTCTCGAACTAGCTAGCTAGAGAGCTGGCTAGATAGTTAGAAAGCTAGCTTTACATCCAGCTAGCTAAATACCTTGCCAGGTAGTTTGCCTGCAAGCTATAGCTTGCAGGAGCGAACTCCCGTGTATTCGCTTCAGCTTGACTAGCTAGCTATCTAGATGGCTAGCCAGTACGTTAGCTAGCTAGCCAGTACGCTAGCTAGCTAGCCAGTTTGCTAGCTACATAGCTAGCTAGCTAGATGTCGTGGCAATTTCTCAGCGTTTCTTCAGCTAGCTAGCTAGCCAGCTAGCTTGCTAGCTAGCTAGCTAGCTAGCAAAATAGCTAGCTAGCTGCCCTTTCTGCGTTTGACTACGTTTGCTGAGAAGGGCGCCCGCTCTGCAGCGGCTGTTTTTTAATTTGCTGCTCTGAACATTAAATTGATTTAAATAGACAAAGAGAAATAAAAAATTTGAAATGGCAACAGAACCTCCCTCTATGCTGCAGTGTACGTACAAATCCTTCTCTTCACCTTCTGCTGGCGTGGGGGCCGGGCCCCCCACCCCCAACAGGAATAGATATTTATTATTATTATATATATATA